ACCTGAAGCCTCCCCATCTGCAGACAGGCCTCAGAGTTCACAGGGCGCGGGAGGAGGGGAGGTGTGGGGGGGACGGAAGGGGCGCCGCGCTGTGCCTGTTAGATTCTGGGACACATTTGAGGTGACACTGCTGGGTTTTAAGCATTAAGTGTGTATCTTGCACAAAGACTTGGTTTCTTTCTTACTTTTTTGTTAATTCTCACCCAAGGATATATTTTTTCCATTCATTTTCAGAGAGAGTGGAGGGAGGGTGGGAGTGGAGAGAGAGAGAGAGAGAGAGAGAGAGAGAGAGGAAAATATCAATCTGAGAGAGACACATCAACTGGTTGCCTCCCCAAAGTGCCCCAGCTGGGGGCGGGGAGCGAACTTGTAACCCAGGGACACGCCCTCCTTGAACCCTCGACCTTTCGGCGCGCAATATGATGCTCTAACCACTGTGTCACACCAGCAAGGCTGGTTTCTTTTTTGAGTTAATGTAGTATTGTCACTGAGTCATTGCTGTCCACCCCCCATCCATGAGTTTTTTTTGGGGGAAAACCACTCTTTTTGAAACCCAAGGAGGCCTGTGCTGCTTGAGTAGGGGCTGGCAGAGGGGTGGGGGTGGCGGAATGAAAGCAACACCCTTGCCATTTAGAAAGGGGCCAAGCCACACTGGCCCCCAGCCTGTGCCAGGGGGCCGGTCCTGCAGATCTGGGGCACAAATAATGCTTGCCCTATTTGAGTGCATCTTTGAAGCACCTGGCCCCTTTATTTTGCTTTCCAACTTCAGTTTCTTTTCAAAGATCGCAAATGTAAAGGCCTGCAGGGGACAAGCAGGGCATGCAAACAATGAAGCTGCAGGGGCCCCGAAAGGGTGCAATCTGCGGTCCCAGTGCCTCCCTTTCAGCTGATGGTTACCTGGTGTGTGTGTGTGTGTGTGTGTATGTGGGTGTGTGTGGGTGTGTGTGTGGGTGTGTGTGTGTGTGTGGGGGGGGTGACTGTAGGCACATGGTGGCCAAATCCCATTTGCCAAGTCCCCTGCTTTGAAAGGCTGCGATGACTCTGACTTCTCCTAAGACACCCCCGGTCCAAGGGCGGGCCGCCTGCAGCAGCGTGGAGCTCCGAGCAGCCTGCCTGCGCCCTGCAGCCTCGGGCGGGCTGTGGGTGTAAGGCGGATGAGCCTGCTATTTAATAAAGTCACCGTCACCTGCATTATTCCGGTTCAGGGGAAGGTTTAGGGGTGCAATCATGGAGAGCCCGGGGTAACAACATAGCCCCCTAGGTCTGGGGTTCCAGCAACTGACACTGGTGAGTGCTGTCTGGGACCATGGCAGCATTGTGATCAGTGAAAAACGTGGGTGGTCTTTCACACTGTGAGTGAAGTGGGGTTCTTGGGGGTACTGCGGGAACAAGCATTTCTGGAGCCCCCACAGGAGGATGAGATGTGGGGAAAGCTCTATTCCCGTGGGATTACAGCCCTTCAGTAAAGCCAGGAGCACACTCAGAGTCCAGGGTCCTTCCCAAGTTGCAGCTGGGTCTGGGTCAGCATCAGGCTAGCTGCAGTCCATTCGTCCATTGGGGGGGGGGCCCACGGCCGTGGGCGACCTGGACGAATGCAGGGGAGCCCCACAAGCTGAGTCACACAAGTCCCAGGAGTCCCAAGAGCAGCAAGAGCACAAGAGCAAATTCATTTGTTCAGGTGATGGAATGTCCCCGATTTCATGCCCTTGCAGTAGCCACGCCCATTCTGGCCAACCACCTCTGTCCCCAGCAGTGATGGACAGCAAGCACCTGCCCTCTGTCCCCCCAACTTTCTAAGCATGTGTCCATCGTCCTGCCCAGTGCCTTGGGGAGTGTGAAGTGCTTGCTGGAGAAGCTGCCCACCTGGCACGCCTAGGCTGGCTGCCCGCTTTGTTCCCTTCCTGGCAGGAACTAGGCTAATGACAATGGTATCGGCATCAGCAGGGCAAGTGCCCGTCACTACCTTTGTCAACAGCCTGCGAAGGTGACAAAGGCTGAAGGTGAGCAGGGGCGCGGGGGTGGGGGCCTCTCCCACTGCCCTCCTGTGGCCGGGGGAAGTGTGCTGTCCCAGACACAGCTTCTGTGTTGTCTACACTGATGTACCTTTGTCAACAGCCTGCTGTCTGCTGGCTGAAGGTGAGCAGGGGCGCGGGGGTGGTGGCCTCTCCCACTGCCCTCCTGTGGCCGGGGGAAGAGTGCTGTCCCAGACACAGCTTCTGTGTTGTCTACACTGCAGGGTGGGGTTGGGGGTTTCTGGTGGAGGCCCAACCTCGCCTCAGGAGAAAATGTTTCTTTCCTGAGGTGAGGGCTTTGGGGCCATTTTGACTGACGTAATAAACCCATGTGAAGCCATATCCTATGTCAGAAAGGTGGTTTCCCTGCAACGGAATACCTTAAAGGTGTGAGCAAAGTAGAGCAGCCCAGTAGCTGTCAATCAGCTCTCGTCCTCAGAGCTGGCTCAGTGCCAAAGGGAACTGGCCCTTGTCCCCTCCTCAGGTCTGCCCAGCAGCCTCCTCCGGGAGGAGGGGCTGAGGCCTGGAGTGCAGGCCGACTTCTAGGGTTATAAATGGGGGGGGGGGGGGATGGGGCTAGGATGTCAAGTAAGTCATACTTGCAACATTTCCTGGGGACCTGGAAAAAATACATTTAAAAAGAACAATGCCTAAGTCTCAATCACTTAAACAGACTTTATCCAATCGCAGCAACCCTCATTTTATATCCCACCCAGAAAGAAAGAAAGGAAACAACAGCAAACAAACGCAGCGGGGAGTGCCTGGCGCCCGGGACGATAACACACACTGAGTTTCAGGAATGCCAGGTGAACAAACAGCCACTTCTTGGAATCCCAGCGCTGGCCGATCTGCAGCGCTCCTCTGCCAGGAAGCCGCCGGGAGGCGCCAGGCCAGCTCTCTCGGTTACTTTTCTTATCTTTCTCCTGCAGAAGAGCCTGCCCGGGCTTCCAGGAATCCTCCGCCGCCCACTGTCCGGCCTCTCCAAGGCCTGGGCTAGCTAGAAAGGAGGTGTCAGTGCAGCACCCCGCGCAGCTTCCATGTAGCAGAGCGCGAACAGCCTGTAATGCTGTCGGTCCCAAATGGTCACATCACAGCAATGTCTCTTAAACGTCCTCAAGGTCTCTTCCAGCTTTGTTATTCTATTTATTTCTGGAAAACAAGCTTTTTACATATGCATATTTAAATAAATAAAACATTTCAAAATAGCATAAGAAATATGGGCTCTCCCTCCATATTCGTGCTCACCTCCCAGGGTGGGTTTTGCAGCCCCTACTCTGACCTCCATCAAGGGGTAGCTTGGATGGGGCTCAGAGGGACCCTGTCAGGGCCACCAGGAGACCTTAGGGCTGGAGGCCAACCCCCAGAGGCCAATGGAAATGGGGAAGTCAGAATCTTTCTGGCGGCCTGTAGATGGCGCCAGGGGAAAGGGATTCCAAGACTCGTTTCCCAAGCTTCTGGGACTGGAACCTGGGGTCCGGGCGGAGCGGGAGCGCACCTGGTGCAGCACCAAGGTGCTTTCACATGCTCCCCTCACCCCCACCCCCCGCCCGGCTGCTCCGAAAGCCTGAGAGGACTGGGTGGGGTGGAATTACAAGCCGTGGGTGCAAAGGGGCGCCTGCAGCGGACGTTTACCAAAGGACGCAGGAGCGGCACGGGGCTCAGACCCGCTCGCTCCAGGCAGCTCGCCGACACTCACCCGCGGCAC